CAAATGCTGAAATAGCCTATTACTTACATAGATCAAAACTAAATATTGTATTTTATGTGCTCAACAAATCTTTAAAATATCAAAATAATACCTTCTAATCAATAGCCACTACTGTCCTGTCAGGTTAATAAGGCCATTTTATTCTATCATGTCATAACATAGTCATGAGAAAAGCAGACATCAAATACATGAGTAAGATACATAAAAGAATATCTTTGGGTTTTATTTATTTATTTACAAACAATGAATGACATGAGACTAATAGGTTAAAATAAAGTAAACTTAAAAAGTGCTCATGCTCTATTATTTTTTTCTATGTGACCAAAAGTAGTATTTGTAAACTAAATTTAAAAGACCAGATTCCTTTCACATAAGAAATATACAACATTTTATAGTCATTTATTACCTCACAATATTCCATTAAAAGAAGCACAACTTTACAGTTTGCCTTAAAATCCCTGACATAAAAAAATGAAGGCACTAAAAATAAGTAATATGTGAGACTATATAGTTTTGTCATGCAAAAAGTAAAACAAAAACCTTCTCCATACACTATTGGTATATTATTCACATGCCATATTGCAGAACAGATACAAACATATCTTTGTGAAAATAAAATGGTCTTTGACAACAGGAGAAAAGGGAACCCTGCCAACATCTGCACATGTACAAATGCCTCCTTGTTTTTGGAGTATTTCCAATTGGCAAATGACAGTCAAATGTACACTTCATTACCCAAGTCCCTCATAGAAGAGGGTAAAATATATGAACAAATGTCACATTGAGCAACTTTATATTCATACAGTGATTCCTGACAATGTTAGCTAAAATACTGTTATGCCTCATTTTAAGAAGAGCACTACAGTTCTTTCATATAGTTTGCCACCTAATCTTTTGGAAGAACTTTAATAAATGAAAATGAATTCACACCATTTGCTCAGATGACAAGAATTTTTCACTAACTAATGAAAACAGTCATAATTTCATTAATGAGAACAGAATTCTATTGAACACACTGTAGTTCAAAGAAAAAGCTCAAAAGAAGCCAAAATATTTGTATAAAGCAATTCTGGTCAAGCAGAGTTTGAGAGACAAAATTTTTAGA